TGCTGATGACTGAGAGGTACAGCTATCCTGTGTCAGTTTTCCTCAGACATCTTTGAACATCTCAGTGTGCAAAGTTTACAGTTTCCCCTCTCTGTGACTTTAGTTAGAAGTGCTTGAAAATATGATTGATTGATCTTCATTCTCTTGCATGTTTCTTTCATGTAAGTTGTAGTCTATGATAAACTACCGCAATTGGAGCACAGGTTTCTCTGACATGCTTTAAAAATGTAAATCCTACCTGTCAATTTTTACAGCTTTGTGTAAGTGTTCTGCATGTACATGTGCAGTTTTAATAGCAAAGACATATGTATTTTTGTTTCAGTAGACTGAAGAAGTCACCAAGTAAAATGTTGGCTGATTCTGATGATGATGACGATGATTTCAGCACGGATGGTGATAGTCTCTGTGAAGTGCCTTCAGGAAATAACTTTTCAAAAGATGATGACACAAGAATCTAAATAAGTATTGAATCTGTGATTCCTTGAAAGTACTGGAAGAATAATATAAATTATCAAGAAACTGGATATTCTAGAAGCCAAATGACATAAAGGGATTTAAGAGCTGGGAATATAATGTCTCCACTCATACTGTTCTTATTTTGATCTCCCCTGTTTATTATAGAAACCAGAATTACATTATAAAACAGCTGTAAAACACAGATATATATATACAAAACTGCTACTGAAAACAAGGGGATAATGTTTCACATTGGAAATGTGATTTTGCTAAAGTTCTGTTTAAGTAAAAAGCCATTCGAAAGTAATTCAAAATTAGTTTGTAGTTATTAAAAGCTTTTCTCTTAAATTTAGGAAACCACAGAAGATTATTTAATAATTGTAAGTAGGGGGAAATGATTTATAAGATGTAAATATTTTAAACCTGATCTTTTTATTGACTACTTCGGTCCTATTTTGTAAAGTTTCAAATATTATATAAATCAATTTCATATGTAAAGTACTTAAATTTATACTGAATGCTATATTTGGGTTTAACTAAGAAGAAAACAAATTAAAATGAATACATTTTGTGCATTACAGAGCAGACTCAGTTCCTGAGCCAGGAAGTACATTTCCATTTTAAAACCAGTGCAAGTTTTATTGTATCTATTCTGTATATTAGAGATCGAATGTTAATCCTGCCTGTTGGCTGTAAAAGGACCATCACATCTGCATGATGAGTAAGGCTTGCCTACAGCTTTCTTGTAAACTTTGTTTGGGAAGCTTTCCCTTCTTAGTAGGGAAGGGTGAGAATGAGGTCAGTTGTTACTTGGCATCTTTCATTTCCTGAAATGGACTCCATACTGCCAGAGGCAGAACATTATAGGCCTGCTGATTTGAGGGCATCAGGACAAGCTTATCGTAAAGTTTCTAAGGATTCCTGCTTGTTCCAGTAAAATTACTTGTGGTCTTTGAATTAAGTACATGCTTAAATCGGTTCGTTAATTGATCCCAAAGTTTTATGCACCTGGCAAGAAACTGCACCAAGGAAACATAAAGTATGTAATCTGATTTTTCTTTCCAAGCTATTCTTGAGCATGTATTTGTGATATATTTCAGTGTAAGGTCATATATGAGGATATATATATTAGTACTTCAGTTTACAGAAGTATCTGCATTTTGGGTGATCCATCTGTTCAACAAACTTTGCAGGAATTTTTTTTTTTAAAGAGCATTGCAGATTTTATTTTAAAAACATTTTCCATTTTATTGCTAAAATTTTTTTTTTTTTTTGCTCTTTATACTACAGAAGGCTGTTTTTGCTCCTTTGCAAATCTAGTATTCTAAGGAAAGGGCACTACTACACAATTTTGCTCATAAACCATAGCTAGGTCCTGTCTGGTTATTAGTATTTGTCCCCAGTTACAGGTTAGTGAGCACTTCTTCGTTGAATGGACCAAATAATAGCGTAATGTAATTGTAAAAAATACTTTAAACTGAAGTTGCTGGAGCTTCCGTTACTCCCACAAAGGCATCTATTGCTCCGATAGACTTCATTAAGGCGAAAGTCCTGACAACGGCAGTATCCGTTTTCATACAATTATGTGAAATGAAACTTCTGCCTGCGGGATCAGAAATATATTCATCCATAGCAGATTATAGACTCTTTTGCCATGGAATTCCCTTCAACTTGATTTTGATGGTTTAAAATATATGGGAAATAATATGAATGGCATAGCTGTATTCCTCTGTTTCTGAATCTTGTATATCTTTTCAAGTAGCACACAGAATATAATTTTTTTGCAATACTAGCTTTATTATTTGACAATACAGAAACCGCCTTTTCTCCAAGATCTGTGCTATACTGTACTGACAATCATCTTATAACCTGTTGTGATTTATTTTTTGTTGTTTTATTTGGATGTTTATGTAGGCTTAACTTTAAACAACTGATTCCAATCTCCAGTTCTCTGTCCTAATGTTCACAGATTACTATATTTCAAACCACTGGAAGAAAATAACTTAATATTGCATCTACCTCCAGTTACACTAAACTGTAAAAGAAAAATTCACTTAAAATAAATTGTCAGTCAACTCTTTCAGTTCTACTTTGTATGTGCACATAGCTTGACTTGACAATTGAATTTCATATGGAAGCTGCCTGTGTTTAAAATACAACAAGAAAATAATTATCTGGGAAATACTGATGCTCTAAAAAAAATTCTGCATTTTTTTCTTTTTGGGTAGCAACTTTCTTTGTAATTTGTAAAGCAGGTGGCAAGTGTAATATCTAGAAGACTCCTTTTCTCATCTGAACTTACGAGTAAGTTAGAAGGAAGGAGACACACTGTTGCACTAGTGGGAGAGATCCTGCTCATTAGACCTTCCTCCTCCCTGTGTCTTCATAAAGAGAACTGGTCTTTGGTTTGTTCACTTCGAGTTGGAAATGGCATTTCCTCTTTAGAGTTCTCAAATGGTATGACCAAAATCAAAATCTTAAGATGTTGAAAAGGGTTTTTCAACTCATCAAATGGTAGCTCTATTTCTCGATACATGCTAGCTATGGTGAGGGTATGGTCTAAGTTTCGATTGCCACAAAAAAACAGTGATAATGGTTTAAGGATGCCTGATTTGTTCACTCCATCTCATGGCAGTTTTTGATCAAAACTCATCTTAAGTCAAGGTTTAGTTCAGGAGTTTAGAAGAATTTTCCCTCTATTTCCATGTAATCTATTTTTAAATGCATTTCAGAAGAAGCTCTCGACCTGTAAAACGAAGCAAGGGGGAGAACATGTAAAGGAACATGGTTGTGAGACATTCAGTCTGTAGAAGTTTCTACAAGCATCAGAGTTTCTGATGTATTACAGAGAGATGGCTTGAATTCTGAGCTGTACAGACCTTCAGTTTTCTTCAATGACACCATAATATCTCATAAACAAACAGACCAAAGCGAAATCCCTTTTGATATAAGCCTAACCTGATGACTTACATAGTGGATGCTTCTCTCTCAGTGTAAGTAATCTATGATGAACAATGAACTTTTTTTCCTTTCTGGGATTAATGGCCTTTCAATATCCCACTGATATTTTGACCATTTTATGAGGTGAGAGATTTTCTATAAAAACAATATTTCTTCCCAGTATGATTCTCTTCTGCCTAAATATACATGTTCTTCAAACAGCCATGTAAGGTTAATATTGGTATATTCAATTCCTGAAAACTTGTGCCTTCAGAGGACTTACATGGCAATTTGTAATTACTGGTTTTGAAAATCAGTTCCAAGTTGCATTTTCAGCATTTTCACTAATCTGTTATGCTCTGGCAGATCCTCTTGGTCTTCTGAGCCTACTTTTGTAGATAGGAGAATTCAAGTTGACTTCTGCAAGAGTGTTTTGCTGTTTTACATCACTAACACTTGGCGGGTGCTCTAATAGCTTTCAATGGCAATCGCTATACAACGCAAAATATGTAACAGTAAAACAAACAAGTGAACAAAATCCTTCTGTACTCCATAGACTCCTTACTTGCTGTCCAAGTAATAAAATCAAATACATTTGTCACATATAGTGGTTTTTAATGCCCTTGAGTTTGAAAGGCATCTCTTTTCATCAAAGCATTGAGGTCTTTAGGACATCGTATCTCTTTTCAGTGCATGAAGAAAGAAAAAGGAAAAGTTGTTGTCTTCTTGCTGTCCCCTGTACCTGCTTCCCTGTGCTGCACTGTGTCTAAGGAAAACCCACCCTATACTACGCAAGTACTTTCTTAGTTCAGCATTCTCAGTTGCTTTTTATTGTTCAATCACCAGGCAGGTTTCCCCCCCACAATGTAGTCTCCTGGTGATGAGACTATAACTTGTTGATTAATCTGTGTATTTCTCTGATTTATCCTCATTATTCTCAACTTAGTTCTTTCCTTTTTTCCTGATTAAATAATCTAATTTATATCTGTTTTTCTAAACTATTACAGAAGCCATGTGCATTCCTCATTTTTTTACAGACCAGCTGTGTGCTTTGCTGAGTGAGCTACACGGTGCAATAGCGTCAGCTTTTAGGCCTTTTCTGGATCACACAGCATATTTCAGTAATTAAATGTTGATGCTTTCAGCTTACTGGAGCTTCCTGTCGTATGAGCAGAGCTTACACATTTCAGCTGCTTGATTTCTACTGACTGCAGTTATCAAGTAACATTGCAGAATGTTCAAGGACTTTGCTGAAAGAACAACATTCTTTAGAGATTGCCAGAGTTTGTAACACATTTAATTTGTTCTTTTTTGCATATGGTGCTGATTAGGTCACATATTTAACCCTCTGACCTTACTATGGTATAGTGGGGAAAATGTCATTGTTATTTCAAAAGCTATGCATGGGCACTGGGCTATTGAGAAAAAGGTGTAGAAAGGTATAGGAAAGGTTTTTTTGTATTACACATTTTTCTTTTAACATGTAAGAAAGGAAAGAAGAGGAGTAAAGTTCAACAGACAGGGTCACATGCTGTAGTGAATTGGGCTCACCTACCTCAGTAGAAACATGCCGGCCCTTTAATGGTTAGTACTGGTGAACCTCATGTGAGGTCAGCAGAGACTGTATGTTTTATGTAAGAGGGAACATTTAATCTTTTCTCCACTTCTAATAACAATTTGCTGTTTTATTTAGATCCTGAAGCTTCATGCCTTTAGCAGAAGAACAGGCAATAAAAAAATTTTAGTTCAATTCTGAGCACAGGTGGATGATGAAAGTTTAAGCTTTCCAAGCTGCCAACAGTAAAATGGTAGGAACTTCTATGTGAGTGCAGAGGAGGGACTCATTACAGGAGCTTTGAGTTTTTCTATGCTTTCTGTGTACTTCTGCTTCTTCAGCAGAATGGGCTTTCTGAATGGTGCTCTATATATTAGGTTACAAAGCTGCTTTCACTAGTTTCAAGCGGTCCTTTTACTTTGATTCTATGCAGTAGGGCTAGGATGGAACCTACCAATGGCATAATGTGAAGTAAGGGAGAAAATACAGGCAGTAAGAAAGATCAATGCAGGATTCAGTTCTGATTAATTTGATTTTGACTTTCCTTTCACTGCTCTTAAAGTGCCTGGCACTGAATGATGCTTAAGCCATCTTAAACCTACAGATACCTAACTTGGGCTAGGATGGATGTAAGATTTTCTTTCTAGGGAGACTGTAAAAATTCAAGATCAGGATGGTGTGGAGCATGTTGAAGTAGCACACACTGAAGTAGTGCTAGGAAGTGCCTATTTCCTGTGTGCATTTGCAGCAAAGATTCTCAAGAGAGCCCAGCTGAGACAAATGATTGTTCTGAAAAAGGAGCAGCATATGTTGCTGATATTTGTCTGGATGCACTGTTAATGGAGGCTAATTAGCTGCGTACCCCTGTGCAGCACAGGTAGTTCTGTTTTGCAGAAATGCTTTCAGCATCTTCAAACCTTGGATACCTAAGTGCCTGCCAGTCTCAGAAGCATCTATTTTGT